CCCCTTGTTTGCGAGTCTTTCTCTGTCTAATTTGTACCTTGTTGGATTGGGAGTGTGTCTTTGTGATAGTGAATTATATTACGGGTAATTTTACTCCACAAAAAAAAAAAAAAATTTTAGTATTATGGTCTGTGCAAAAGAGCATGAGAAACAATTGGAAATAAACTTTGTTGCCCATCATGGCGTCAAAAACAGGATTTAGTTTAACTTGGTATATCCTTGGCTTTGAGATGCTCTTGAGCTCTGACTTGAGCTTAACTTGGATTGACTTCCATTAAGTTGTTCTTAGACTGTAGCCGCCACAATCCATTTACATTTTTTACCTTCAACAATACAATACAATTATGCAACCCTAAGTTACAAAATATGTGCCTTATTCATTGTTGGCAATAACACCATTGTTCATTTGTTACTTTAGTTTGAATAAATGTTTTTTCTGTTTTAGGTAACTTTGTAAAGTCATATTCCCCGAGCCAGTTTGTGACAAGTACTCCTCCTGTATTTCTTATTCGGAGCTGGCACAACTTTTCCCTGTGGAACTAGAGGGAGTCTTGCTCTGTCAAACACTTTAGTATTCTCAGCTGGAAAGACTCACAATTCTCCTGCACCAGTTTTCTGCAAAGACAAGCCGTTGTTTGCTTTGTGGGTGTGGTGTGTGGTGGTGTGTGTGTTGTGTGTCTGTGTGTGTGTGTGTGTGGTGTGTGTGTGTGGGTGTGGTGTGTGTTGTGTGTCGTGTTGGTGTGTGGTTGTGGTGTGTGTGTGTGTGTGTGTGTGGTTGTAGTGTGTGTGTGTGTGTGTGTGTGTGGGGTTTGTGTTGTGTGTGTGTGTGTGTGTGTGTGTGTGTTGTGGTGTGTGTGTGTGTTGTGTGTGTGTGTGTGTGATTTTACCCTGCCTCCCGACATGGTAGGTTATTCCAAGTTCAAGTCAGGGATATATTTCTCACTTATATGCAGAGACCCACCTCTGGATGATCGTAGGTGGGCCTGAGAGCGAGTTGGCCTCCTATGTCTTCTCCTGTGATCAACGATGGCAAGTCTGTCAAAACCATTCATGGACAATTTCGTAACCATATATAACCACATTTTAAAGCCCCTCACAGAACCAGAAGATACAATCGTTTAAAGGGAGGGATCTTTGACAATAATAACCCTGATGTTCGACATCGGTTTCCCTGCCAAGCATGATCTATATAAACAGATATCCAAAACAAATTGTAGAGGACATTTTGTGAGTGTTCTGGTTTTCTTTTTAGTCAGGAATAGTGGTTATATTTTACTGGCTTTGGTGGCATAACAGGTAAACAGTCCCTTTTAAAGCATGAGGCTTATTGACTGTTTACAAATGAAAGAGCTTGACTGCGAAATCCATTATTTGAAAGTTTATCGTTGTGGCCACCACTGGAACACCAGAGTATTTTCCGTTGTCCCCAGAGGCTAAATCTCGCTCTAGATAGATTGTTTAGCAATTCGTACCCGAGATTACAAGTCAGTATCCAACCCTTTTATTAGGAACCCTTTTGGTGCAACAGTGAACACTCCATCTCTTTAGAAACAGACGAGCGGCGACGATAGAGTGTGTAGGATGACGTATTTTTGATGCATGTTTTGTTTAGCTGTGAATAATCTCCACATTGTCTACCACTACTATTTACTAATTTTCGAATCATAAATCTCTACATCGCCAGAAAGCAAAATGCTAACGTTATGCTATAAAACGAACTACAGCAGAGGCGCACGACTTCAAACGTCACAACAACTTAAGATCGATATTCAAAAATACAGATTCAAAATTGCACAAGTTGAAGCGTTTGTTTTAACAGTTTTCAAGAGAGCAGGTCCTTGCTTTCAAGCCGAACAGGGGCAAACAAACTTAGCGGGAGTGTTTACGTGTTCGGCGTAATGACGTACAACGTCCTCGACAACTTCTGTAGTCCTATTCAGCCACTTGGTAACAACCATCGTTTTTCAGACACGTAAACTCTTCAAAAATCACCAGTGGGGTCACTGCTGATATATTTCATGTCGTAGAACAAAACGTGATCCGTCTCTTAAATGTGTGTCAACCACAGACCTTATTTCGAGCTATTTTCCCGAATCCTATGGAGAAATCCCATTGACTCTGAGACAAGGTAACCCGTAGTGATAAAATGCTAACTCACTTCCGAGTTTTAGGACTCGTCACTGCACCACTCTATAGTGGAGATACCTTTTAAAATCACCCTGAAGTTCCCTCAAGTTCATCCTTCTGAGACATACTGTGTTAAGAATACTTTTCAACTTTTACCAGTAACTGTCTTCATCCTTTTGGCTAGATTGATATGAATATTGCCGAGGATATGCATTCCTATTAGGGCTGCTCGATTATGGCAAAAATCATAATCTCGATTATGTGGGTCAATAATTGTAATTGCGATTATTAAATGCGATTATTCATTGACTTTGAAAAACATCCATTTATTGGAGAAAATTGTTTCAACAGTATGTTTTTAACAGTTGATTACCCTTAACTTTAAGTATAATTCAACTGAAAAACCAAAAAAATAAAAATAATTTAAAAATAAAAATAAAAAAGTAATAATAATAATAACAAAATAATCGTTTTATTTCGATTACGTTGTTTTCGTAATCGTTGCAAGCCATAATCGTAATCGCGATTAAAATACGATTAATTGAGCAGCCCTAATTCATATCAATCTAGCCAGTATATAAATCATACATGAATGGGAAAAAAAGTCTAGAAAAGCAGGTATTATTGAAGAAAATAACAGAATAATACACTGTTTGGAAAAAAAGGAACATCTACTCCCAGGCTAAGAGAGCCTGTGGAGTCATGACTTCTACTCTGCCACTGACTGTCAAACGGCTCCCATGCCTCACTGTAAAGGGCAGGGGTCACCATGGTTACAGCGTGACTGACAGGTCCCCTGACAGGGAGTTCCACATGAGCTCCTTCCTCGCAACGTCGTGCCGAAATGACTCGAGGACAGTAAGCCTGGAAAATGCTTCAACACGCAGCATTTATTTTTTATTAATATCATTTTCTAGAGGTTGTTTCCATGTCTGTCGCAATAACGCATAAGAGTATTATAGGATTAGTGAGAACATCTTGCATTAGGCGACATTTTCATGCGTTCTTCATGTGGAATGTGTCATTCATGGTTTATTTTGGAAAACTAAGAGAGTTTAGTTTGAAGGGCACTTGATCCTCTGAGAAATTTCCACCATCAAGGGACACTTTGAGACATGTAAAAGTGGTTTGGAGAAAAATGTTATTTGGAAAGGTAAGGGGTAGATGAAATGTTTTAGAAGACGATATCAAAAGGCAGATTAATACTCAATGCCATTACAGTGGATGTTGGGTGTAAAGGGGAAGAGACGGAGGACCATGTACAGCATGTGCTACATGAAAAGGGGGTGCGTTTTTTCTCTTCCAACATTTATGCTCTGAGGCCAAATGTTTTGACCTTTCTCGCCCCACCACATGGTCCCCTCTACCCGAGCGCTGTGTAAGCCCCCGGCCTCCTCCTTACTCCCCCACGCTCCTCCCAGCAGAGCAGCTCACCCGTGACACTCTAATCTACTTGGAGAAGTGCAGTCCGGGTTTTTCGCTCGCAGCTCTTCTTCCTCCTCTCTCCTGCTTTTCATAATTCGTCGATGTCACTGTCATTACCCTCCTGCAGCGCACACGGCTGTCCTTGTGGCAGAGCCCGGCCGTATTCACACACTCTGTCTCTTTCTGTTTGACCCCGACTGTGTGGATTTGCCCATTGGATCAGATTTATAAAACTAAACTTGGATTCAATATTTAACGTGATGGTAAAGAAGCAGTTAAGAAGTCTCTGCAGTTACATTACTGCAATCTCCACAAAGCGGCTTAATCTCCACCTTCTCACTATCCCACCAGTACTTTTCACTTTTGTATTCAAACATGTGCATCTCATAACAAAGCAGTATTAAACTGCCAAGACTTTGAGGAAATTGCTTTTCTTTTACCATGAGAAGGCTTCAGGCAGTATCCTCTTTAAAAAATAAAAACAACCATTACATCTTGCCATAAGCTTTCTCTATGAAGCCTACAAATAAAACCTCTTGTAAACCATTGACGTAAGCTCAGCTAAATCAACTCTGCAGGTGTACATTTGGAGGTTGATGTAACCCAGAGTAAATGACTCGTGTGTTTAGCTCTGATTAATACCCTTCACTCATCGAGACTGATGGGGAAAACAACATAACGAAGAACAGGAGATAAGCTCCTGAGTCTTAATGCTGTAGTTCTTGTTTGATTCATCCGTACCTATTTAGCTTTTTCCCTTGTTGCTCATCTGGAATGGAATATGATTTGGGAGCAGCGCTTAATCTGTAAAACAATCCTCAACTTTAAACGTTGTTGTGTTTTTTTTAGGGCCGGGACTCGATTAAAAAAATTAATCTAATTAATTAGAGGCTTTGTAATTAACTAATCGAAATTAATCGCATTTTTAATCACATATAAATATTTGACCTGAGAACAGTGAGAAGCAATTTTTTTCACATGGATTTTAGTATACCATTGAATAATGACTGAATACATAAGCTTAAGCGACAAAACATTGTTTATTTTTTTCAAGGTGGTACTTAACCAAGACCAACAGAAAAGTGCAATTTTTGCCATAAAGTGTAGCAATAGCATATTTAGGAATATAGTACATTTCAGAGATTCAGGTAGCCTATAGGTAGGTAGACCTTCTGTAAACTATAACACTTTGTTTTTTAAGTAAAACACAATACTTTCAAGTACATTCAGAACATTGGAAACCCTGACTATTAGAAAACATCTCTCTGTTGCTTCAGAGGCCATAACAGACTTTGTTGATTTACCAACAGTTGATTTAAAAAATCTAATCAATTTCAGTCCAACTCTCTCAATAACCTTGGCCAAAACAATAAACAGTTCAACATAAAGTGCCAGTTGCACCAACAACGTAATAAATAGTTCAACATAAAGTGTACCATTTAAAATAAAATAAAAAAGTGCCAGTGATTGACCTCAATCCCTCCTATTCTTCCAATATCCTGATGAAAAATAAAATCTCTCTGTTGCATAGGCCACTGTTTGATCAACGCGAATTGGGTGTGGGTCCTTGTACTCCGAGTCGGGCTAACGTCCACGCTAGCTTCCACGCTAGCTGCTATATGCACACAGGGGATAGCGGGCTAACGTCCACGCTAGCTTCCACG